CCTGAATGCAAAGAAAAATTTTGGGCAGAGGTCAGTGATGCTAACCAAGGTCCAGAGTGTTAAATCCTTAAGAAAAATGGTTTGAATATCATTTGATATGGCAAATAAAATTATGATGTGTCTTATCTGTAAAAGTCCTGGCCATGGAGCTTTTTTTCTTGTTGTTTTTTTTTTTTTCTTTTTTCTTACTACAGCATGTATAATCTTAAACAAAAGAAATGGAAAACCATCTCTCCCAGGTGTACTACAAGGAATTTTAGAGGTTTCCCAGTGTTAAACTGAAGTTTGTTCCATTCTTCTGTTGGTTTGCAGTTGCTTTGCTCTTTTGTTTTGTTTTGGGGTTTGTTTTTTTGTTTTGTTTTGTTTTTGCTGGCTTGTTGTTTGTTGGTTTTTTTTGAGATACCAGAAATGCCTAATTACATTAACAGAGTTGCAACAATTTCACTTTCAAATGCCAAAATCCAAACACAGCCACTTTGCAAAGTTCATTTACAAGCCCTCATTTTCTCATAAAGTAGCCATCCTTTCTTTCAAAAATAAAAGAGTAAATTAGTTAAATCTTCCGTGACACATCTTAATCCAATTCCTAATATCATCATTTGAAGAATTTTCATCAATTTCATAAAGGGTTAGATCAATCACTGGAATCAGATTCTCAAATTTCTCCTTGTAGTTGAATTCCTCCTGACCAGGTTCATCTGCCCCATCTGTCAAACCCACAGAAACAGCCTAAGTGCACATATTCTCCCACTGTGGCCAAAAAGTGGTGGTTGCACATCTCTTAAGGGACAAGCTGGTCAAGATTTCCAAGATTTCTGCTGGAAACACAAAGCCTTGTTTGCAGCTTTTATTCTGTGTGTGTTTTGCTTTCTATGCAGAGCTCTGGAATTTAGGCTAAAAGTTGTCTTTGACAGAAGTGAGGAGTTGCCAGCTGCATTATGTGGCTGGTCATCTTTCTTTACCAGTCTTATTTTGATTTCTCATGATTACTACAGCTTCCCCTGATGTCAGACCTAGCAATCTAGGGTGAGATTCATCTCCCTTTCATTTTAGGTAGTGACAATGTGTCTGAACCTGAGCCATCTGTACAGACCTCCCATGCAGCTTGGAAATGTGATCCAGGATTTTAGGTTGTGATTGGTTTCATCTTAGCAGCAGCAGGCTGCTACTGAAGAGTGGGATGGATTGCATGCTAAGGACTTGGCAGTGTGTTGGGTTGGCTGTTGGACTTGGTGATCTTCAAGGTCTTTTCTAACCACAATTCTATGATTCTGTGATTCTATTATTCTCTGAATTGCTCTCTGTAGACTATAATAATATCTAAGGTGACTTGCTCAACTACAGACACCTGGGGATGGTCAATAAAATGCCTTGTACACAGGTGAATCTTATTCCTCAATAATGACACTGTTTCAGATACATTCTTCCATGTCCCTTCCTTAATTTAACTCAAATCCAGTAAGTTTATCAGCCTCAAGCTGATTTCCTTTGAATTCCCAATCAGTCTTCCCATTGGTTTCAGTGGGAATGGAATGAGCTGCCAAGCTCTGTCCTGTCCAGAAACATATGAAGAGCTGTCAGTCTTATTGCCTCTGCCTGATGGGTTGTGTTCATCAAAATGGGTGGTTTTCCTATTTCCCTGTAGTGCTACAGCTTGCAAACAAGGAGCTGCTCATCTCTTTATGCCAGTTAGTAAACTGCCAAATTGCTGTTGCTATAATGTCTTTGTTTTAAGTTCATACCCTGTAATTATCTTCTATTATCTTAATTTGCAGACAGTATCGAAGCCAACATTGAGACTGCATCTTCTAACGTAGAATCAGCCAATGAGCAGTTGGCAAAAGCCAGTCAGCACCAAGTAAGTGGGACTAAAAAAACCCTGTGGATACATTCAGTAATAGTATTTAAAATAAAAAGAACACTTGGAGGCTGTGAACCACATGGCACATGGGCTGCGTTGGATTCGTGCTACCTGCAAAGATGATAAAGCAGGCTCTAAGTAAGAGCTAAACTTTCTTTTTCTAATATGTATGATTAAATTGCTGTAGCATTGACAATTTGCTTTAGAGTAGTCATTAAGAGATTTGCATATTAAAGAGACATTTCCTAGTAGGAAACATCACAATTAGCTACTGTTGTTCTTGGAAAGACGTCATAAAAAGTGCATAATTTAAGTGTATATGTGCTTCTTATTGGGAGTGTTTCCCTATAATCAGGCAACAGTGCTTTTCAAAAAGGACTGAGTTGTCAAAAGACATGATGTGGTTGGTGAATAACAGCTATGAGAGTGGTGCTCAGCACTTTTTAAAGGCAATGTGAGCTTATGGTTTGGGGTTTTTTTTAATTCTTTTTAATTTCAATGGAGCGAGAATAAAACACAGACCAAAACATTAATCTTTTTGAAAATAGCTTGATGAGAAAGAACTGAAGAACTGTTCAGTGATTATACTTAGTGCTTCCTAGGGATGAAGAAGGGGGAAGTGAACAAAATAAAAAAAAATATATTGTTTGCATTGGATTGACAGAACAAAAGCTGTTAGTTAGAATGGGTTCGTTGAAGTCTGAAGTGACTCTCTTGTATGTGGAGTCTTGTTATCACAAAGTGTAGCTGAGGTCCATTTGAGTACCTAGTGCCTCCTCATTGCTTCTTGGACACAATGAATTCTGAAGGTCTGGGACAAACCTCCAGACTAAAGGAGTAAGAGCTACAGGCATTTTACTCCACTAAAAAAGGAGATTTTAAAATTATCTACAGCTCATTTTCTAGTGAAACATGATTTACCAGTTGTGGATAATAAGAACAACATTTTAGAACTTTGATACTGCAGAAAATCTGTTGTTTTCACTACATTTTGGTTTTAAAGACATATATATTCAAGATAAGGTGTGCCACCCTGCATTGAATCCTGCATTTACTTTGAAAATGGCCTGTTGCATTTTTACTGCATGAAGTCTAAAATGAAACAAGAATAAATTGAATACTTGACAGCAGAGCCCATCCTAAAGCTGCAAATGGGTTAATGACAGTTTTGGCTTAGTGGGTCAGAGAGTAGTCAGGCAGAAAATGAACTCAGCACAGTGTAAAGGATCTGCTTTCTTCAGCCAGCAGGAGCTGCTGAAATAGCCTGCCCAGTTAGGAGGTCCTTTATTCTTCAAACATGTTGATCAAGATTAAGATGTATTCAGTTTTAATGAGTCAGCCCCTGCTAAGGGCATCGATGTGTACTGAGTGGTATTTATGGGAAAACAATCCAGAGTCTCTCTTGCCCTTGAAACAAGCCTGTACAGACAAATATCACTTAGAAAAAAAATCTGCTGCCAAAGAACATGTGCAATCCAGATCTCCTGGAGAGGACAGGTAGCTGTCCTGTACTGTACTTGTGGATCAGTAGAGAAAATGCATTCATCTCCACCTCACTCTCTGTCACCTCTTTCATGAGGTTCCCTGAGATAAGGAAAGAAAATGAGGTGAAGTTGTTGTGGCTGCAGTTGTTGGCCTTGTGCCTGGGGTTTGTCAAATGGCATATGGCACCCCCTCTTCTGTGTGCTGTGATGTTTGCTCATCCTACATCCAAAGGACATTGTCCCCATAATGTGACAGGAAGGATCCTGGGGACATGGCCCTCCAGGGCTTCTGTAGGAAATGATGTAGGAACAGCTAGGATGGATTTAGGAGGATGATCAGCCAGACTGCTTTGTGGCTGAACTGCTTTCTAGGGAGCTGCCACAGTTTTGCACACTTTAAATTCTCTCTGTGCACTTCTGTGCTGTTCAGAGATTAAAAATAGACTATTTTTTAAATCTTAGTGAGTAGTTTTCCTTCTTTTGTTAAACTGCCAATTCATCAATATATTTGGCTGTTACCTCCCACTTTTAGTATAATGTGATTTTCCTGTGAATGCAGACTAGTATAATGTGATTTTCCTGTGAATGCAGACTGGCTTCCATGCATTTGTTACTTATCCCTATTTATATGTTTATTAATATATGTGTGCATGTAGTATTCTTAAAAGTCTATCAACAACTGTATACATAAATTGAGAAATCAGAAATGTCAACATCACTGAAACATTCAAGCTGATGACCTCCTGTAGACCTTAATCAATGGATTTCTGCTAGGAATAAAGATCAAGTGACTGTTTATTTAGCATAATGTTTGCATATGATTCATTGCACTACTTCAATAATACAACTTGGAGCACCACTCCTAACCTGTATATTAACATAACAAAGCATCAATAAATAGCTTTTCTTTAACTAGCACAGCTCCCTGAAATGATATAAATGTTTAAACAAATGCAAATATCTTCTTGCTGAGCCCTTTTGTCTGCATTTTAAATTTTGAAAGGTGCTCCTTCCTCTTGAGATGCATGTGCTAACAGTAGTATTTTATTATTTTGTGTGAATTTTCATGTTCTCTGTCTAAACTCTTCACTCCCCCACAATGCCAAAATAACCAAACCAACATAAAAAACCAAGCCTACCCACAAAACCATAAAACAATAATAGAGAATATATTAAGAACCTTGTGAAGTTCAATTAAGAGAAGTGTAAGGTCTTGCACCTGGGAACACATAACCCATGAGTGCAGTTCAGGCTGGGATCCACCTGGCTGGAAAGTAGCCCTGTGGAAATGGACCTGGAGGTCTCGGTGGATACCAGGCTCAACATGAGTGCACAGTGTGCTGCAGCAGCCAAGAAAGACACCAGGATGCTGGGCTGCATCAACAAGGGTATCACCAGGAGAGATCAAGAAGTCATCATCCTGCTCTACTCAGTGCTTGTCACACTGCACCTTCAGTTCAGTTTAGCCCCCCACTCTACACAAAGGATGGGACAGGCTGGAGAGGGTCCAGAGAAGGGCCACAAGGATGGTTGGAGGACTGGAGGAGCTGCCATATGAGGAGAGGCTGAGAAAACTGGGTTTGTTCAGCCTTGAGAAGAGAAGGCTTTGGGGAGACCTTATGAACATGTTCCAGTATTTAAAAGGTGGCTACCAAGAAGATGGACGACTCCCTATTTACAAGGGGCCAGATGAAAAAGACAAGGACTCATGGGCACAAGTTGCCCATGGGGAGATTCCAGTTGGACACGTGGTAATTTTTTCTCCATGAAGACAGTCAAACATTGGAGAAGTCTGCCAAGGCAAGTGGTAGATTTCCCCACATTGGACAGTTTGAAGTCTCAGCTTGACAGGGTGCTGAGCCACCTCATATAAACTGTAGTAGTACCTAGAGAGGCTGGAGCAGATGATTCTTGAGGTCCTTTCCAACTTGGCATTCTATGAATCTATGATATGAGGGAAATATATGGTGAGTAAAGAAGCAGTCGCCAACAGTCAGGGTGGAGAAGGCTGCTGGGTGGCTCAGTGCAACATGCAGCCAGCCCCTGCTCTCAGCCCAGGGAAGGGAGCAGTGGGCAACTGTGTGAGTGGTTCTGCTCCCCTCTGGTCTTTTCCCTGACATCTCCTACCCCATGAGTCTGCATATCTTCCCCCTTTTCAATGCAGGAGTATATGTACATTGCAAAACGAGGCAGGTGTAACTTTCACTGGTCATCATACTGAGGTGAGATGCCAAGTTGCAGCCTTTGTGTGTCTCCATCAGACATGAGCAGTTCAACCCAGCAGTCTCAGCAAAAGAATCGGGCACTGTTGTTATAAGAGGCAGGATCAAACAGCTCTGAAATGTAGATGTTCTCAGTTTATCACTCTGCTCCTGATCTTACATGCCACAGAAGTCCCCAGGTCCATGCTGAGTACTGTAATTGGCAGCCACATTATTGTCTGTAGTCCCTCTTCTCAGATGTAGACTTCACCTCCTGATAGTAACACTTACTTCTCCAAGTGAATTAACTCTGGAGTCTTGGTGGGCAGATACTTCAGAAGATCTATGGACCACATAGAAAAATAACAATGTCCCTAATGTCTGTCCATGATGGAGAAAAAATTAACTTCATTTTACTTTCCATATTTTGTTCCCTGCCATTGTAAATCATTGTATATGTTCTGATTTCAGCACTGCTTAACTTCTGTTAATTGATAGGTACTTCATCTGTCCTGCAATAAAAGTTGTGGTAAATACTCTTGTAATTAATAATGAGCAAGAAAATGTGTTACATCCCAGAGGCATAAAACGTTTAGTGAAAGTTTTGGAAGGAATCATAGAGTGGTTTTGTTTGGAAGGCACCTTAAAGATCCTCCAGATCCAACCCCCCTGCATGGTCTCACCAGACCAGGTTGCTCTAAGCCCCATCCAACTTGGCCTTGAACACTTCCAGGGATGGGGCTGCCACAACCTCCTTGGGCAACCTGGGCCAGTGTCTCACTACCCTCACACAAAAGAGTTTCTTCCTAATGTCTAACCTAAATCTCCCTCAAGTTTAAAAACATTACTGCTTTTTATTTATTTTTTTTTAATACCTTTAAAAAAAATAATAGCAGATTTCCTCCCTCATTTTAAATTATTATCATTACAAAATAATTTTTTGTGCTTAGAATTATTTTCACTTCAGGTAACAGTTAAGCTGGGTCACTCCCTTATTGGTAGAAATATGCAGGGTCAAAATGCAGATGAAAATGTTGGTTTTGAATATTGTTACCACAAGTAGAGGGACAGAGGCCTCTTGCCATGTGAAACCTCTGTTGGCCACAGGAACTTGACACTTTTATTTTGCTGACCTACTTTTCACTACACAAATTGAGATTAAAAAATGACTGAGAGGCAAACAAATCTGACAGAGAGAAGCCAGAAGAAGTGATCTCTTGCAGCAGACTTGCTTCAGTGCCTTTCCTTTCTGTGAGGGTCTCATATCTCTTGGACCTAAAGCAGATATGACAACCCTTGCCATTTAATATCA